TCCTGCCTCCCTATTGGCCGTTCAGCTCTTTATTGGACCATCAGGTGTTTTAGGCAGGCATAGTAACACAGCTTCACAGAGTTAAACAAATGCAACAAAAACAAAAGTAATATACCTTAAAATAATATTCTACACTTCCCCCTTTTTGTCTAAATAAAAAGAAAGGTTTTAACTTTAACATAGTATAACTACATACAACAAAAACAGTTATCAAGTAAGAATTAATTTACAATATTCAGTCCATTTACATTTAACAAATTTAGAGAAAGCATTCCACCATCTATTCATCTTAGTGACTCCAAAGTTTTATACATAATTTACTTTCTACCATAAGTAAGGAAAACTGCAAGTATAACTGTCTAGTCTTCAACTCCATCAAAGACCCGAAGGATGTAATATTACTTAACAACAGAGATATTTGGCTACTTGGACAGTTACCCAAAATTCCTCTGCAACATTGGGGCATCCATCTTCTGACTATAGATCCAGAGAATCTTGCAGACTTTTCTATGAAGCAGGAATTTTGGACTGTCCTGCCTTGTTTTGTCAAAGTTTGTCAGTCACTTTCCTCTGTGTCCTGCAGAATGTCTGGCAGTTTCTTCAGTGAAGCAGGAATTTTGAAGGACTGTCTTGCCTTGTTTTGGTAAAGTTCAACCATCTTTTTCCTGTGTGTCCTGCATGTCCAGTCTGCACAGCACATTGTCAGCAGTCAAAGGCAAGAGAAATTTCTTTGCCCAGTGGCTAAACTTACCACAATGAGAGCAAATTCCATAGGGAGTTTCTTCAATGCCCATCATCTCTGAAGTAAATTGGTGCTGCCAGGAGCAGATGTGTCTCATTGTCATGAAAAGCCTAAGTTAACAAAACATTTTAAATACCATATTCCAAATATCTTTGAAAGGGTTGAAGAGCATCTGTATATCTAAAACATATCTCTATATGATCTGGAAAGCATACCTAACATATCTACAATTTTTATTGCTATAAATGACTACTAACCTATGTTTCCTGATTATCCTATATAGTTTATATTAATACCTTTCAAAAACTAGAATTTTACCTTACAGTTTTAAGTGAACTGCATAGTTAAACAACAACAGTAGAAACATATATACAGTGTAACAAAAAATAAGTTTAAATTTGTATCAATATATTATATTCCCCTAAATGATAACAAACATCCATAACCCACCAAATAACCAAAAGCCACACTCCCAAATCTTGGGAATATGGGTGTAATTTTCTCCATACTTCTTCTTGCTGTCTGTGGATTAAACTTCTTTAGGGTCCCAGAGAGAAAATTTTGAGATAATGACAAAGTCCTGGGAAGGCCAACAGTAACCTTTGCTGATAGATATCACCTGTCAAGTTTCAGGATGTCTTGCCTGATCAAACCTGATCCATATTAACCCTGATGGATTCTACAGCCTCTTATTTTCTGTGGGGACAAAACTCCAAATCATTTTTGATTTCCATTTGACAAATATATTTTTTGACTTTTTAAAAGTTAAGGCATTCCTAAAGTATACAGGCTGATTTATTTCAACAGTCCCTCTTTCAATTCCAGGTCTCTTTGCATCTATCTTCACTTTTCAACAGTCAAAAAATTCAAACTCAACACAATAACATACAGGATCCAGACTCCCTGTGTATTTCCCATATTACCTGGCTTTTTTCTTTTACTCTCTCTTTAAAGACTTTATTTTATAAACTGTTCATTTTTTCTATTATTATACCCTTTTCCTTTTCTTAAGTCTATGCACATTGTCAAACACACTATAACCTGTTTAGAGGTTTTTCCATCTGGACCTCTTTTATTGCATATCTTCAGCCTTTTTTGGCCATATGAGTAAACATTTAAACTGCTAACCTACACCTAGATCCTCTGCATGCAGCTATCAGTGGGCTCTGCTTGCTTCTCATGTTGTGAAAGCCAAGCATGAAACTCGAGGCCAGTCAGAGGTTTGTCTGACCAAGAACTGCATTCAACCTTCCTAGAGCTCTAGAATGTCGATGCTTACATTGTAGTAGGCATTTTACTTAGTTTTTTGTTCCTACTTAATGCAAGAAAAGCTGTTTACATGCTCTGCTGTTCTTTTTTTTTTTTTCCTTTCAGTTTTCTCAGGCCCTACATGGAAATATAGGCCCACGCTGGATGACAAAATATTGTTTCGAGTTTTTTTTTCTTTCTATTTTGGGGGCCCACCACCCAGCTCCCAAATAAATCACACATGGAGGCTTATTCTTAGTTTGAATGTTTGGTCTTAGCTTGTCTTGTTGCTAGTCAGCTTTTCTTAGCATTGAATTTCCCCATCTATTTTTGGCCTCAGGATTTTCCCCATTCTCTTACTTCTTTAAATCTTACTTTCACTTTTACCCCGTGGCTTGCTGTGTAGCTGTGTGGCTGGCCCCTGGAGTCCCCTTCCTTCTCTGGCTGCTTCCTCCTTTTCTCCTAGATTTCTCCTTCTGTTTGTCCTCCCTGCCTGCCAGCCCCACCTATCCATTCTCCTGCCTCACTCTTGGCCATTCAGGTCTTTATTAGACTATCAGGTGTTTTAGACAGGCATAGTAACACAGCTTCACAGAGTAAAACAAATGCAACATAAACAAAAGTAACACATCTTAAAATAATATTCTACAATAATGTGTCTTCCCTTTTTGGCCTTTTTCATATTATTTTCTAAAAGGGTAATTTTTTTCTTCCTCAAATTCTACTCTCAAGCAAGAATCTCAATAAGGGTAAGACTATTAATGCTAATGTACAATATTTCTCAGGTGTATAGAATTCTTTTAGACTAATATTGAGACATATTATGTAAGAGAGAAGATTATTAATAAACTGGAATAATAAATCTGAAAATAAACTATATAAAATACAAATAAATATGGGAAGACTTCTATTACTTCCAAAATAAGGTTATAAGTATCACAAAAGGACAGAGTAGTTCTAATGAAAGTATTCATGGGAATGTTGGGAATTATGTGACAATAAGGCACCTTAATTACATTAGTTATTAAGTTTTCATAAAAGCAGTAGAGGTTAAAAAGTCATATATGTATTTAAGAGGTAGAGCTGAGACTTAAGGGGGGTAATTTTCACACACCCATTTACTGTATAATAGACACTGTAGTGTACATTATATTGACAAATTGTCATGTGATATTTGAGTCATTAAGAAGTTGGCTCTAGAAGGAGGGTTGTCCCCCAAAGTCAAAGTTAAATGCTTTTTCCTCAAAGTGTTCTCTGAAGCCTTTTGTTTAAGGATGGGATGGTCCCTCAACTCTGTAAGGAGGGGAAGAAGAGAAAAATGATCTCAAGAATGAAAACATTAGGTTCTTGAGAACAGCTAGGAGGAAAATTATTTCCAACAAATGTTGCTTTTGTTTGTCCCATGATATTAAATCTCCTGTAAAAGGAGAGAGAAGCTGGAACCTCAGCCATGGGGAGAAAGCTCAGCTGGAACCTCCACCTGGCTGCCTCAGAGTTCCCAGTTGGATTCTGTTGGATGTTTTGAGCACCCTATTTGATGATATTATCTTTGCTTGTTGCTCTTTGTTCTTTTCCTTGGAAGCCTTACCCGAAGGAACATAGACTCTCAACAGGGAGTTCCAGCTATGGGGCTTCCCCATTCAATTTCTGCTGGATATTTTAAAGACTTGATTTGAAGATGTTTTGCTACCCTACCTACCTACCTACCTACCTACCTACCTACCTACCATTTTCTATTTATTTTTTACTTTGGCTTGCTGTATACTTAATAATCTCATTCAAAACAAAAAATATGACTATTATAAGTAAGTCTCTAGGCCGTACAAAATAGATGTTGGGTTCTACTATTATTTGGCTCCAAAGCCAATGAGTTTAGCAGGATGAAGGGCAGAAAGTTATTGGATGCCTATATATGTATATCTAAACATCTAGAAAAGAAAGCCAGACAGATAATTCGCAACATGCTTTAAGTCTTTTTTAGCAGAAATATAGACAATGTTCTTCCATTGAATGGAATAATGTATTATCAACTAATGCATATGGCCTTTTGGAAGAGTTATACAAAACACATTTTAGAGGTATAACGTTTGAAGCAATAAAAAATGGATCTTCAGCTTTTTCAAATGATCAATTTAGACCATACTAGCAGCTTTTAGATTTGTTCATCATTGCATGTCAGGAGGGCCTCTTGCATGCCTTTTGAAAGTGTGATTGTTCTCAGGCTTTGTAAGAATTGTTTCTTGAGGACCTAGAGCATCCTCAGTAGTCCTCACCATATCCTAAAACATAGACAGTGTAAGGATATGCTGAATGTATTGGTATTGATAATTTTCCGGGTAAAGCAACATGATCCATTTTAGTCTCAGCACAGATTTAGTCGAAGAAAAGAAATCAGGGTGGATTTCAGACTGAGGAGAGCTGTGGTCCAGCCACTTGCTGGCTGATTATCTTTGGCAAAGCCATTATTGTTAGTATTATCATTAATAAATGAGGGCATTTTACTAGGCTTTTTCTAAGTTTTAATTCCATGTTTATCCATCTTAGATTCTATTGCATTATGAATCTAAAATATTATTAAATTTCTCAGACTATATCAAATTTTTATTGGTTGGATAGTCTGAAATAGACAAAATATTTGAAATATTTGGGTGTATTATGATTAATCATATTGGACTTTCAATTATAAAAATAAAAATAATAGAACTTTTACCACTGTGTCTTAATATCAGACATTTATATGTCCTTGTGGGATTCTTATTTTCTGAGGCTTCATGCTGTTTTACTGTTGCCATTTTTCATACAATATCTCACCATTTGGATACACGTTGTAAAGAGAACCCTAAGATGGCCCCTAAGGTTGCTCCCCACTGGTGGGTATGTGCTATATCTTTCTCTCCTGCTGTTGGATGTGGGATATAAACATGATGTGATTTCACTCCCATCAAGAATTTTTTAGCTCTACCTCCCCTGACTGGAAGGGTGATGTGGCTGGACCAGCACTGGCCTTATTATGTCTGCCATTTTCAATTTTCAGAGTCTGCTGACTGTAATCTTGCTGCTTATATGTATGTGTGCTTATATCCAATCCTTGGCACCCAGCCCCCTGGACAGAAATAAAACTGGAGTATTGGGAATATTTTGGAAGTATGCCCGAATTGGTGAACGCGAGAGTCCTTATGTTGCCGTATGCTGTATAGTGATGGCCTTCAGCATCCTCTTCATACAGTAGCTTTGGAAACTACCAGTGTGTGATTGCCATCAGACTCTGTAAACAAGGACTTGCCACCAGAAAATAATGAGAAGAATGGTTAACCCTTTTATCTCTGAACATGAAATGAGATAAATTTTGAGATGCTGTTCTCTACTTTTATGCTCATTGGACAAAAGAGCTATATAAATAATTAAGATGTAACAGTTTAATACACAGGAATGTGATTATAGTGATCAACCTCAGTTCTGTCACTCCAGTATTACACTCTGGCAAACGTCATTCTCTTGTGTCGGGACTGCTTTCCATAAGGTTCTTGAGGGCACAAAGTAGAACACACAGTTGGCGGATTCCACAGGCTCCTTTCAGTAGGGCTTGAAAATATCTTCACAGAATGAGACCTTCTAATGACTGGCCTATTTTTATTGAGAAAAATTGTTCTATTTTTGTTGTTATTGTTCTGTGGATTGCATTTATATTTAAACTATTTTGATTGCTAACCAGAGTACCTCTGTTTTCGGCAAATTTTTACAGGTGTAAAATATTTTAAACAAACAAACAGAAAAAGAATTTTTCAGATAGGACTGAGGATGTCAACATCAACCTCTGTTAATCAAAAGTGGGATTATCTTGATTGGACCTAACTGGATGTAAAGAGAGTCTTGAACTTTCAAGTTCAATGTCATTTAAGGTGAAGAGACTGGAAATTCTTGTTGATTGGTGAAGTGAATTGGTGGGTTCTGGGAAGGGTCCCAAGGCAGGGATTGAAGGCATCATTCAGGGTCTAATAGTATTAGTCCTATGATCCTCTAAAATGTAATTCTGCCAACAACTAAGGGGCTTAGGAAAGGATCTTAAACCTCGGGTCATAGTGATACTTGGTCACTGCATGAGAATCCCTGAGCAAAGGAGATGGTCTACCCCTGCCTGGAGTCCCGAGTCACCGAAACTCACATAATAGATGTATTGTTTTAAGTGACTTGGTTTGTGGTAGCTTGTGTTGCAGCAACAGAAAACGAATACAATATGACTTTAATTATCACCACATGAGTCATAAATTAATACCTCAGCAAGACCTTGCCTTGTAGATGCAACTGCTCATTTGACATCTTCTTTTTGCTCTCTGGAGACTACCTCAGTTTTTATTGTGATCAAAACCAAATTCCCATTCATTGCTCACAAGTTAAATTCAGTTAAGGGCATTTATCCCCCATCAAGCTGCAAAGCAAGAAATTAAGGAGTCATTTTGATACCCTGCTTGTTTTCACCCCTTAGACCAAATCCATTACAAATTCTAGTCCATCGTCCTTTGTGGCAGGTGCTTCCATCTGGCTTGCTCTACTTCTTACCCATCCACTATGCCTTTCCTATAGAGTAAAGGCTAAAAAGCTAAATAAAACATTTACTATTTATGTAGCTAGGGCTTCCTTCGGCTTAGGTTCCCCAGGCTCATACACATTTTGTAAGATGGACACTAGCAACAAGAGGTGGTGGCCGTGTTTAAAGAGCTCCCACCATTTAGCAAGTTTGGAGAGACGATTTTTCTGCTCTAGGGCAGCGAATGTGAAACTGTGAAAAATTCCTGAGAGAGACAGTACAAAGTAGCAAGGATTTATTCTGGCTCATGGCTTTGGAGATCTCCATCATGGTTTGCTGGCTCTATGGTTGTGGGCCTGAAGTGGTGAGGGAGAAGACTGTAGTGACAGGTTATTCCCAAGGAAAGCTGCTTACCTTATGGAGGCTGGGTGGAAAATCAGGGGAGAGAGGAGGACAGGAAAGGGAGGGGAGGAGAAAAGGAGGGAGGAGAGGAGAGTAGAGGATAGGAGAGAGGAGTGGAGGAGAGGAGAAAAGAGAAGGGAGGAGAAGGGAGGAGAGGAGAGGAGAGGAGAGGATGAGTACAGAAAGAGCTAGGCACACGACCTTCCAATGTGTGCCCTCAGTGGCATACTTTGGCGTACTTTCTTCAAGCAAGTCCCACTTCCCAGCTTCCACCAACCCCACGCCCCCTCAAATAATTCCATAAAATTGTGTATGTATCACTGGATAGGTCAGAGCCCTCACAGTCCACTCTACTCTTCATATTCAAAGCATAAATATATACTAAAACAATTTCTTGTCCTTTGTATGACTAGAGCCAATAGAATACTCAGTCTTTCAGGGCGGGTGAGGGGTTTTTTTTTTGTCAATTTTTGCAATGTTCTAGCTATAGAATGCTGTGGGATGTTCTGTATGGCAAATGTGTTGCTCTGATTGGTCAATAAATAAAACACTGGTTGGCCATTGACTAGGCAGGAAGTGTAGGCGGGACAAGGAGGAGAATAAAGCTGGGAAGTGGAAGGCTGAGTCAGAGACACTGCCAGCCACCACGATGACAAACAGCATGTGAAGATGCCGGTAAGCCACAAGCCATGTGGCAAGGTATAGATTAATAGAAATGGATTAATTTAAGCTGTAAGAACAGTTAGCAAGAAGGCTGCCACGGCCATACAGTTTGTAAGCAATATAAGTCTCTGTGTTTACTTGGTTGGGTCTGAGCGGCTGTGGGACTGGCAGGTGAGAGAGATTTGTCCTGACTGTGGGCCAGGCAGGAAAACTCTAGCTACAATGGTCCATGTTAATTATTTAAAGATATGATTTGCTATTTATTCAATGAACATGTTGTGAACATTAAATTTAACCAAGATATTCATACTTATTGCTAATAATAATTTCTATATGCATATTAACAAAATTTCTATTTTGTTTCCTTGATAACATATAGCAATACATCGTAAGTCCTGGGAGGAAATATCTATAAAATAGAATTTGGTGCCTATCATAGAAATGCAAATATTAGAGTAATTGAATAATGCTCTCTGGGATACACTTTCACTAGAGGAAGGAAAGGGACAGTGTTATAACATGTATCAGTACTGAGTCAGGTGTGGTGGCTCATTTCTGCACCCTCATCACTGTGGAAGCAGAGTCTGGTGATCAAAAAAACAATTCTTCAAGTTCATCCTCAGCTATTCAGCTTTATAGCAAAGTTGAGGCCAGCTTTCCCTATATGGGAGACATTGTCTCAAAAACTGAAATATATAAAAGGAAGACACAAAGCTATTCTGGTAATGGATACATACCTGTAATTTTCTATACATACAAACATACATAGAAGAAAATACAGAATGTATCTGTTTCTATTTTAGCTTTCTTTCTCAATTCTGTATTCCTCATTTAAAAATGTACACCTGTAGTGGCTTTGATTGGAAGATGGTCTTTTGTTTACTCAATTGAAAGCATTTCTTCTTAAGTAAGTGATGTTATCTGTAGCAAAACTACACAAAAGGCCGATGGAAGTACTTGGCTAAACCAACTCTGCAAGGAAAACTCAAGTAGACCTCAGTGCCTGCTTTATTAAAAAAAGGAAAATGTACACCTGGCCTTGGAAGAAGCTGACTGTCAGAGTGACACCGTCTCCCGTGTCCTGTTCTAGGAGTCTGCCTATCAGAGGCCATTGTAATTCTTTGCTAAACATGGCCGCCTTCTGCTGAAATCAGCCAGAGAGACAGATGAACATCCTGCCCAGTCAGGATGCTCTGTCTTCTCTGCCACAAAACCTGCATTTAAGCATATTCACATCTTTCCACAAAACATGCTCTTGTTGAGCCATATGAAAACTGCATAAAAACCAGAGTGTGGCCCTGGCAAGATAGCACAGGCAGTTGAGCTGCTCGCTGCCAAGTCTGACTGCTTGAGTTTGAGTCTTGGAACCAGCATTGGTTCCAAGGAAAGACTTGAATTCTGCAAATTGTCCTTTGACCTCCGCATGCACACTGTAGTATACATGTGCACACAAGCCATGGGAATACCCCCTCCTGGGACCCTCCCCCCAGTGAATTCATAAAAACATAAAAAAAAAATACTGATGGTGAACCACATTTGGTATGGTGGCAGGAGCCTGTAATACCAGTCCTTGGGAAGTTGGAGGCAGGAGAATTAGAAATTCAAGGTAACTTGTGTTACAGAGTAAGTTTAAAGCTAATCTGGGTCATACGAGAGCCTGTTGAAAAAAAAATCATACTAAACCACCCCTCATCACGCAAAAAACAAACAAACCAAAACCCAAACCAAAACTAAACAAAAACAACCCAACTCAAGCCATGAAAACAAAGCAAGCCCAAAAGCTGATGATGACATTGCCTTCTGACTGCTGAAATACTTCAGATGACAGGGGAAAGTGTGTTTCCTTTAGCTGCTGAATTTGTCAGCTTCTCCTGCATTTCAGCTTAGCTAATAGCTTCCCATTTTAATAGCAGTTACTGACCAGCGTGTCTGTCCCTTGTCTTCCCCTCTTTCTCTGTTCCTTTGGATGACAGCTCCTTTTGTATGACATTAGATCCAGCCAAGTTCCCTTGGAAATGAGGCGTCTTCTGGCTAAGTGGTCCTAGGGAACGGGGGATGTGATGACAGTGAAGAGTGTGTTATCTGACCCGCATAGACAGATTGTATAGAAAGATGTTCCGATGTATAGAAGTTCCAAAACAGGAGAGTAAGGCAGGGGTGGTGGTGGAGGGATTGGGGTGAAGTGGGGATGGTGGGAAAAAGTGTAAGTTTTGCCATGTGCTGTTTCTCTCTAGATCTGTGTTTTATAAGTCACTTCTGGCTACTTGGCCAGGCTGCACTTAATTACCTGTTCCTGCTGTATTCTCCAGACAGTCAGCCGTGGGGCGGGGGCTATTTCTCATCCCTCGACAAGCCCCGGCAGACCTGGGGTTGAGCTGATCCATTACAAATGCCTTGTGGACAGACCCGTGTATGTGTCTTTGGGGATTTCCACTAAGGGTCAGGATACCAGCTCCAGTCTTGATTGTTTTAAGTGGCTTGTGCTCCGAGGCTAGGGAGCCGCTCATTAGCGACCCTCGGAGTCCAGTATCAGGAACAGACTGAACGGGGTCACTCTGCGCTCTGCCAGCACAAGCATTAATAAGAGAAACCATGTCAATAAAAGTTCCCTGGATGAAGCCACAGAATGAGGCACTTATGGACGATTATAAACATTTTGCCCGTGGTAATTCTCCTCTATCAACCCTACTCCAAACCCGATAAGCGCTGCCTCTTTAGGGCTCATTAATTTCCTTGAAAATTTAAACAGC